ATCCCAGGACCCTGAGATCACGACCTGAGCCGAAGGCAGACGCTTCACCAATGGAGCTGCCCAGGCGCCCCTCGTGTGCATGTTTGTGGACATGTGTGTGTGTGGGGGGGACTCATGGGGGTGAAGAAAAGGGCAGCAGGGAAGGGTCTTCCACTTGTGACTGGGCACAGAGGAATCAGAACAGACCCCATCAAGAGTGTCGCGTGCAAGTCACTTAGTAGGAGTGGTGACGGCTGTCTGGTTCTACCCACGGCCAGTCATTAGCAACCAGTGGCTAAATCTTAAAGTGACCAAACCGTCCCTGTGTCTGCCACGTCACCTCCTCCTGACTTCGTTTCCCACGTCCCTGTGCCTGGTCCTGCGGGTCTCTGCTTACGACGCCCCATCTCTGAACAGCTGCTACGGCCGTGCGTCCTTCTCTGGGGGTCCTGGTCACCCGACCTCTTGAGCATCCTGTCTCTCCTGTAGCACTTTTCTCAGGCTCACTTCCAATAATGCCACTCCCTGTGGATCGGGGGGCCTTGGTCCCCACGTCCAGGTCCCTGTGGCATCTCGTGCAGACCCATTCGTCCAGCGCGTCAACATAAATAAGCCCCAATGCCTTCCCTTCTTTCCCAGTCTCTTCCTCTTCCGGCTGGGACTGGCCCCTCAGATACATGATCTGTATGGGAAAGTGAAATTCTCAGGTGAGCCTAGCTCCTCCCCCTGCCGCTTGTGTGGGTAGGTTTCGGGGGCTCTGGCCCTGAGGAAAGGCACGTGTGGTGTTGTTGCAGCCGAGGAACTCAGCAACATGGCCTCTGAGCTGGCCAAATACGGCCTCCAGCTGCCTGCCTTCAGCAAGCTCGGGGGCATTCTGGCCAATGAGCTGTCACTGGACGAGGCTGCAGGTAGGGGCTGGGCTCTGCCTGCGGGGGTGGGCTCAGTGAGAACGGGAGGACTCTGGGCCTCAGATGGATTCTGGGTGCCTCTCATCAGTAGGCAGGGCTGCCAGGCCTCCCAGGTGGGAAAAAGGAATGACATCAGAGAGGCTGCGGCTGGCCGTGCTGCAGCAGTCTGGGGTTTGTCTGGCCTCCTGACCTTGTTTTTGCACCCCTCCCAGTCCACGCAGCTGTCCTTGCCATCAACGAGGCCGTGGAGCGAGGGGTGGTCGAGGACACCCTGGCTGCATTGCAGAATCCCAGTGCCCTGCTGGTGAATCTTCGAGAGCCTCTGGCGGCCATCTACCAGGAGCTACTGGCCCAGGCCAAGGCGGAGAAGGCCGCCAGTGCCCAAACCCGCGTAAGGAGGAGACTCGGGCGCTGAGCGCTGGGTGGCCCGGAAGACCTGCAGCGGATGGGACTCCTGTGTGTCCTGTCCCACGCCCCAGAGTTGCTGAGGGAAAGTGTCACTTGTGGGTTCTTGTAGAGAAAGAGGAAAGCACCGGGGAGAATAATGAGCATTCAGAGGAGAAGGCAGGAGGGGGTTCTGGGGCCTGGATGTTCGGGGTGGGCTGAGACAGGGACGTAGGACTGGATGAGACCAACAGGAGATGCCAAAGGCAGGCCTGGAGCCCTGGGTTCCCCAGAATCCTGGCCAGACTGCCCTTTGGCTGGGGCACAGTGGGGGGTAGGGTGGGGGGAGAAGAGACAAACAGGGAGGAGCCCATGTCCCAGGCCTCGCTCTCGGTGCAGGATGGTGGAGAGAGCCGGGACGTGTACGATAGCTTCCTGACTCAGGCTGAGATCCAAGGCAACATCAACCACGTCAACGGTGAGAGAAGTGGGCCATGAGGTCTTGGGGTGCTCTCGGGGTGAGCCCCCATATCGGGCAGTTTGGGGGTGGCTCTCGCTTGGGCCAGTCCTCGTGTCTCAGGGAAAGATCCAAGTCAAGAAGCAGCACGTGCTGGGCTGTATGGCCGTCCATGTCTAGAGAGGTGGCCCCGTTGAGGGCGTTTCTGTTTGGATGGAGATCCACGGGGAGGGCAGAGGCAAGAACAGACCTTCCAGCTCTTGGGGCCAGGGGCAGTCGGACCGGGTCCTTCTTGAGAGGGAGGTGTGAGGAATGGATGGGGGAGGGGG